AATAATAATAATAATAATAATTACTTTGGATTTTATAATGTAACAATTAGAAGTGATTTAACCCCAGTGACAGTATTTAGCAATTTTTATTTTGATTCATCAATGTGTAATACTTTGAGGAATATCATATAGATTTGTCTTACATTTTAAGTGTGGTTTTAGGAATGGATATTTCTATGAAGAGAATGACAAGTTAGTAATTATACTTTTAAAGTATATGGTGCTGTGCTCTCTTTCATATTTTCATTTTACTTGTCCTGGCCTATGCTCATTCTGCTCCCTGTGCTCAGTTCAAACAGGGTAGTCTGGCAGGACACACAGCAATCTCCCTCTCAGTTTAAGAGAGCCATCCTAAGAATAGGGCTGGCTCTTAAAGGCACAAGAGGACAATTTAAGAAGTAAAGAAAAAACAAAAAAGGCTTGGTGCTCGTAGCACAGTGATTACAGCGTCAGCCACATACATGGACGGTGGCAGATTTGAACCAGGCCCCCTAAACAGCAGTAATAACTGCAGCAAAAAATAGCCGGGCATTGTGGCAGGCGCCTGTACTCCCACCTACGTGGGAGGCTGAGGCAAGAGAATCACTGGATCCTAAGAGTTTGAGGTTGCTGTGAGCTGTGATGCTACGGCGCTCTACCAAAGGTGACATAGTGAGACTCTTATCTCAAAAAAAAAAAGTATGTCTGGCATATAATAGGTGAATGATTGAGTCAGTTGACACAGCTCTGAGTATCGCTATGGATAGAATAGGTCTAGTAAAGGATACATACCACTACTGCTTATGTTGTTTTTGTTCTAGTATAATTGTGTAACATCACACTGACTAAAACTACAAATGAATATACTGATTGGGTCTTTTATCCCTCCCTATGTTTAAGAGAAGAGATTGTTGGCGTTTTTCTTTATGAGACTTAACATGTAGCAACCATAAAAAATTACAGGACTTTTTCATTTAGATTATATTTGAAAGGGGAAAAAGCCAAAGAATTTTAAAATTCCAAAACTGTCTGTTGAACCTTATGAACAAAAACTCTTGGATGGTTTTTTTCTGTCTCTATTTGAAATTTAAAACTATAAAACAAGAGATTCCAGTAGTTAACATAAAGATTCTCTTGATGAGTTTTTTTTGTTGGTTTGTTTGTTTTTGAAACAGTCTCACTTTGTTGCCCTCAGTAGGGTGCTATGGCATCATAGCTCACAGCAACCTCCAACTCTTGGGCTCTCTTGCCTCAGCCTCCCAAGTAGCTGAGAGTATAGGCACCTGCCACAAGGCCTCACTATTTTGGGGGATGGGATCTTGCTCTTGCTTAGTCTGGTCTTCAAACTGTAAGCTCAGGGCAGTACACCCACCTGGGCATCTCAGAAAGCTAGGATTACAGGCGTGAGCCACTGTGCCCAGTCCTCTTTGTGGTTTTAAAAGTTGTTTTTTTCCTGGCTTGCTGCCCGTGGCACAGTAGTTACTGTGCTGGCCACATACACCAAGGCTGGCGAGTTTGAACCCAACCCGGCCAGCTAAACAACAATGACAGCTGTAACAAAAAAATAGCAGGGCGTTGTGGCGGGAGCCTATAGTTCCAGCTACTTGGGAGGCTGAGGCAAGAGAATTGCTTAAGCCCAAGAGTTTGAGGTTGCTGTGAGCTATGATGCACAGCACCTAGCAGGGGTGACATAATAAGACTCTGTCTCAAAAAAAAAAGAAAAGTTGTTTTTTCCATTCTAAAAATAGCCCAAGCTCATTATTGGTTTGAAAATTTATAATGGGCTCGGCGCCTGTGGCTCAACCGGCTAAGGCGCCAGCCACCTACACCTGAGGTGGCGGGTTCGAATCCCCAGCCCGGACCCGCCAAACAACAATGACGGCTGCAACCAAAAAATAGCCGGGCGTTGTGG